ACTTATCTTCCATCAACGTGAATTCAGCGGGATTCGAACTCTCTACTTTTCTATCGTATCCGCCAAGACGTCTTGCTTTCTATCGTATCCGGCAAGGCAGCTGGTAACGACAGATCTGTAGGAAAGTCCGGATACGACAAAACCTTCTATCGTATCAGGCAAGACGTCCGATACTGACCGGGCCTCCGTTCTATGGACTGGTGACAAGTCTGGCTTAGAAGGTGAGGGCCGTTTGCCAAAAAAAAAAAAAAAAAAGGTGAGGGCCGTTTGTCATAATGCCCCTTTAAAAAACCCTGAAAATTTAGGGCTCTGTTAACCGCTACACATTAGAACGCAGAATCCCCTAACACGATCGAAGAGGATTCAACAGAGATCAAATCATAACTCTCACTGTGGCTACCCAAACAGATCCCCAAATAGGACTCAAGTTCACTCAACTGGATTCCCAAAAGTATCCTTATACGGTATTCAAACTGCCGTCTTCAAAAAAAAAAAAAAAAAAAAAAAACTGCCGTCTTCGGTTCTTACCGTAAAATATATCCAAACAAGATTCGACAGGATTCCCAGAAAGATCACCAAACGGGATTCGAACTGCCGTCTTCGGCTCTTATTACCGTAGATTTCGAAAAAGATCCCCAAAAAAAGAACTCGATAGGATTGATAGGATTCCCAAAAGATTCCGAAACGGGATTCGAACTGTCGTCTTCGGTTATCACCGTAGATCCCCAGAAAGATCGACGACTATTGTGAAACGGAGGATCCAGGTACTAAGTAGGTGGGACTAGGTACTAAGTAGGTGGGACTCCACCCCATGGGCAAGGTCCCACTAGAACGATGTGGACTTGTTTGTTGACAGGTGCAGAGGATCGCGCGATTTCTCTCTTTTTGCGCATCGATGCACAAAACATGTCCAGATTCAGGCAAAGAGGATTGGGTTTAACGCCTGAATCTGGACGTGTTTGTTGACAGAAACAGAGAATCGAGCGATTGATCTGATTTTGTGCATCTGTGCACAAAAGATGTCCGGATTCAGGCAACGCCGATTGGGTTTAACGCCTGCATCTGGACGTGTTCGTTGATAGGTGCAGAGAATCGCGCGATTGATCTGCTTTTGTGCATCTATGCACAAAACATATCCAGATTCTGGCAAAGAGGATTGGGTTTAACGCCTGCATCTGGACGTGTTTGTTGACAGGTGCAGAGAATCGCGCGGTTGATCTGCATTCGTGCATCTTTGCGCAAAACATGTCCAGATTCAGGTAATTAATTCAATCCTCTTTTGCTAGTGGGACTCTAGGTGTAGAGAATCGCGCGATTGATCTGCTTTCGTGCATCTGTGCACAAAACATGTCCAGATTCAGGTGCTCAATCCGATCCTCTTTTGTTAGTGAGACTCCACCCCAGGTTGAACAGATGGAAATATCCAAAACCTCCTATCGAGGTGAGGCCCCCCTCACACGGACATTTCATTTCTGACCGTAGATTGCCAAGATGGATGTCCGGAAACAGAGAAAATTCAGGTACTGAGTGGGGATCCACCACAGGAGAAACTTTTTTTTTCAACAAATGCGCTCTTAGCTTGGAACTGTGTTTGACCATATATTAGGGCCTCGACTTTTAAAAAAAAAAATTAAAAAAATAAAATAATAATAATAATAATAGGGCCTCGCTTCACTACTCCCGACATGCACAAACGACAAAATATGGCGGTGTATCTTTCCGTGTTCTAGCGGAAGATTCATTATCATTTTTCACATCTGGCGAGTAGTGGAGCGAGGGCCCTACATGCATATATGATAACACAGCTCCAACTTCCAAGTTAAGAGGCCCATTTATTTATTTAAAAAAAAAAAAAAAGGCGTCAAAGGATCGGAAGAAAATGCAGTGCCACGTATCCTAGTTGTCATTCTGTTTTTTATTCCCTATCTTTTCCACAGTTTTATATTACATCACGTGCACTTTTTCACTGCGAGGAGACACAAAGAGAGTGGAAGGAAAAGAGAAGAAAAGGCAGTGCAACATCGGCGGTTTTCTTGGTTTCCTTTTTTCCCTATTCTTTCTGTATCTTCCCTTCGCTTTTTCCTTCCTTTTCTTTTCGAAGTCGGTGCAAGGTCGGTACGAAGTTGCAAACGAAGGCGCCAAAATGAATGAATTCATTAAGAAAGAAAAGAAGAGAAACTAACCAAGTTCGTTGATCACGTAGGCGGCACCTCTCTCTCTCTCTCTCTCTCTCTCTCTCTCTCTCTCTCTCTCTCTCTCTCTCTCTCTCTCTCTCTCTCTCTCTCTCTCTCTCTCT